GGAGCCTGATGTGGGACTCGATCCCAGGACCCTGGGATCATGACCTGAGCCGAAGGCAGACGCTTAACCATCTGAGCCACCCAGGCGCCCCAAATCTGCTCCATTCTTAATGTTTGAAAAGTCAGAAGCCAGGAGCTACAATCAAATTGTTTTGCTAAGAAACTGCCAAGAACTGTTTTTTGTAACTTGTTATAAACTAACTTGCATTTAGTGAAAGTGATCACCAAATTATCATGATTTTCTTAGCAACAGAGCTGTGGTTCTCCACCAGGGGTGATTTTGACCCCCAAGGGACATTTGGCAATGTCTGAAGGCAGATTTTTTGAGGGCCTGGGTGCCTACTGGCATTCAGAGGGTAGAGAGCAGGGATGTTGCTAAATATCCTAAAATACACAGGACAGCCCTCTACAACAAAGAATTATATGATCCCAATTGTCCATAGTACTGGTGTTGAGAAAGCTGGCAGGAGAGTATTTCACCAAAATTCTACAAGGGCAATATGAATTAGTGAAGAGTTTGAATTATAACCTTTTCTAAATTGAATGTTTACGCTGTAGTAATCTTAACCAATATGTAGCAAGTGCAGTCAGCAATGACCCAGTTAGAATCACTTTAGGAGCATGCTGTTGCTATGTACTAGCGTGCTGCTCTGTGCTTCAAAATAATTTGTTCCATTAGGTAGGTTAAAAGTTGCCCCCGTGACTACATTGAGGCCTTCTGTTCATTTATTTACTCTGCATTCATCAACTGAGCATCTGCCAAATAGCAGGCCTCAGGGATACAGCAAATAAAAGTACTGATAACGACGACAAGAAAAAGAAAAAGCAATCACAAACAAAACCCACAGTCTCTGGCCTCAAGGAATTTATAGTCCAGAGTGGAGACAGGCAAACAGACAACTTAAAAGCCTGTGAGGGGATTACCAGGAAAAATACAGGCATGGGTGTGCGGCCCAATTAACACAAGGAAGTGAGGGACAAAGGGAAAATGTTTCCTCAAAGAGATGGTACCAAAGCTGAGTCTTGAGGGAGAGGCAGGAGTAGGTGAGTTAGCAACTGGAGCTTGGGTGGATGGAGCTGTTGGGATAAAGATGCTGTCTATGTTTCTCACACCAACAACGATTAGAAAAAAAAAAAACACCACCACCACAATAATAAGTAACATTTGTGGAGCAAAAACTAAGAGCTGGACACTAGTCTAAGAGCCTTGCCTGTAGTAACTCGGATAATCTTCACAGAAGCCCTATGAGGCAGGTTCTATAATTAGTCTCATTTATAGATGAGGAGGCTGAGGCACAGGCACAGTTGAAGTCCAAGGTTACACAGCTAATGACTGGCAGTTGGGATTTAAAATTTACTTAATGTGGCCCTGGTGCCTGAACTCTTAACCACTACTTTATACTCTTTAAAGAGCCAGAAGCTTATGACAACTATCTTCAACAAGGACTGTTAGCTAAGAGACTTACTCAGAATTAATCTAAGAGGCAGAGTAGACCTATTGAGTAGAAGTCACATGCCTGGTAAACCAGGCTTTTAGGATGAAGACCAAACTTCTAACCATGGATTGATTACGAGGCCCTGCCTGATGAGGCCCTCAGATACAGATTTACCTCTATCCTAATCCCTCTTACTCTCCATCTTGGGAAAGGCAGCCCTTTCTGTTGTTTTTGGAGCTAGATGATATCCACTTGGTCTTCCCTCTTCTTTCCTGAGAGCTGGAAGAGCAGGCTTTCTGCATCCTGACTCAAGCCAGTTTTCAACACAGGAGAATTCACAGTTGAGGCTAGAGCCCTCCAACAATGCCCTGGAGGCCCCTCCTCACTACTAGGGGACAGAACCATTGAAGAACACCCTTTGAACACGGTCTCTTCCCCAGTAAACACCCAGGCCACATTTTCACACACACTCTATCAAGATACGGGAAACTATCAGATGCTGTAGAAGACAGCCCCCAACTCTGCTCTGACCCACCCATCTACTGACATCACTGAGAGGAGAGTTCTCTTTAGAATGAGAAATGTCCCAGAGTCAACTAAGCTCTCTGACCTTGAAGATATTTGGTTTCTTCCAGCTTTAAGAGACGAAACTTCATGACTCATAAGAAGATGGCACATTATGGCACATTAGGGGCACCTGGGTGGCTCAGTCTGTTAAGCATCTACCTTCGGCTCCAGTTGTGATCCTGGGCTCCTGGGATTGAGCCCCTCCTGGCATTGAGCTCCCTGCTCAGCCAGGAGCCTGGTTCTCCCTCTCCCTCTGCCCAGCCACCCCTCCCCCACCCGCACTGGCTCGTGTTCTCTCTCTCTCTCTCAAATAAATAAATAAAATCTTAAAAAAAAAAAAAGATGGCACATTGTTTAGAGCACAAGACTGCGTCTGTGACTTTGAGCAAGTCATTTATACTCTCTGAGTCTCAGGAATAATAATAATCATAATAATATCTCATCTCACTGGGTTGAATGAGATAATGCACGTAAATTACTTAGCAAATACTTGGCACACAGAGCACTCAATACTCAATAAATGTTTGCTTTTATTATTATTATTAGATTATAAAGAAAAAAAGTCGTTTGTGGAAAAATCACTGACTGTGTGTTTGTGGATGCAGAGAAAACAGTTAAAGGTCATATACCAAATTTTTACTGGGGTATGAAGGAGAGGGAAATCTCGTATTTTACACACATGCAATTTTCAAAATAATTTACTGCTGGCCTGTGTCTTTTGTAAATTTTTAAAAATAAGAATAATAAAAAGTAAAGATGGCTATTTTTTACTTTTACCGTCAAAAAGTTCACTGCCAACCAACATTTCTTATTTAAAAAGGAAAATGGGAAGGGCCAACACTCCAAAACTGCCTGAGTGAGTAGGCTAAGGCACCATAATGAGGGAGCTATATTTAGTAAGAGGGCTGGACCCTGACCTTCACAGTGAAAAATGGATTCCAACAAAGCAGCAAGGCTGCCCAAGCCTGTGTCTGGTCTGGGCAGTACCCCTCTTTGAAAAGCAATAGTTTTCTCTGAACATTTGACTGGTCTGTGTCAAACCTTGCCAATATCTAAGTTTTGAGGGTTACCACAAAAAAAAAAAAAAAAACACCTCATATCTAGATCACCAGATAGTATGTCTGGCTTGTTTCTTTACTAAGAGGGAGAAAAGAAAAAGAAAGCAAACCAACAGATGCAATCCTATATACTATTTATTACGTTTTAAAGAAATGTTTTAGTGTTCTGGAAAATGAGCCTCACGCATAAGGTTAGGGGAAGGTTCAGGAGGCAGCTGCCCCAGGCCTTAGGCCTGTCCTACCCTAACTAATTTTAACTTGGCTGCCACTCTAATTCAGAGTCGGCTCAGAGCCTGTGCCCTCCACACACCAAGTCATTCTCAGAGTTTGTGATTCCTTAAGCAACACAGAATGAGGATCTGTGCAACTGTCTACTGAATCCCACAAATGAGCATTCTCTTCTGCATGGGGGCAACGACCCTGAACCACATCTGGAAATTGTGAACTCTCTCTGTGCTGTGTTCCTGGTCCTATAGCTTCTCAACAATTGTCACATGCCCTTGGGCTAGAAGTCATGTCTGATTGATCTTGGTGTTGTTTTGAGCTTGGCACAGAGAAGTGACTCAATAATAAATAAGCCAAAGATCAGCAAACCACCCTAAGAAACCACCCTATTTGGCCTTTCCCACACCCTCCAAGTTTGGATTTCTCCTCTTTCTCCCAGGCCAGCTTGTACTTTCCCTCTCTAATGGCAAGCAAGTTCCTTTATAAAATCTGAGGTTGGCTTTTTCTTTAAAGATGCATAGAATCAGCAAGATCTAGAATATCACCATCCTGCACAAGTGAGAGAAGCATTTCTTAAAGGGTAAACTACAAGAAAAGGTGGTTTCTAGTAAATCAGGTGTGTGTGTGCGGGAAGCGGGTGGAATCCTATGTAACACAGAACCCTTTTTATTTTAACATCTGTTATTGAGAAGGCCTTTAATACGATGAGACGACGGGCTAGGAAGTGAAGGAGAGAAAGTAGCCTCGCCGGACGACTCCTGGATGAAAACGCAAGAGAACCCGGTTCCGAGAGTCAGGACAGCCTTCACCCCACACCGGGAGATGCGCCACCAGGAAACACCCACCCTCTTGCTCCCAAGCTCATCTTCCTCCTACAGTGCAGCGGGCACTAGGCGGATAAACCCACAAAGCGCGTTGCTTCTTGGGTGCCCTTTTTACACGAAAACCCCCAGAATGCAGAGTTCGGATCCACACCCAGTCGCCCAAGTCTCCCAGGGCTGCGCCCCTTCCCGCCAGCCCCAGGATAGGGTTACACCACTTTCCTCTTTCTTTTCTTTCTGTCTTTCTTTTTTTTTTTTTTTAAGATTTTATTTATTTATTTGACAGAGAGAGACACAGCGAGAGAGGGAACACAAGCAGGGCGAGTGGGAGAGGGAGAAGCAGGCTTCCCGGCGAGCAGGAAGCCCGATGCGGGGCTCGATCCCAGGACCCTGGGACCATGACCTGAGCCAAAGGCAGACGCTTAACGACTGAGCCACCCAGGCGCCCCTCCTCTTTCTTATTTTTAAAAGACTGGGGCGCTGCAAATACCTACAAGAGCCTAATCAGGGCACAGAGGGAAAATAAACGTCAGTTTTTCTTGTCCGAAGCTGGCAAAATTTCTTCACCCCTAGAAATCCCCTCACGTCTCCGCCCGAGGCACGGTAAGGAAAAGGGGACCCCAAGATTGCTGCGGCCTCGCCCTGACAAGTTTCCATAGGCTTGACCGCTTGCACTTGCCAGGGCGGAGGCTGGGCTTGGAGAGCGTTTCCATATCCCGGGATCCTGTATGTACACCCGGAGCCCCACGGTGCCGCCCTCGATCAGTGCCCCGGAGGGGGACCCCCACTTACCCCACAACGGAAATCATCATGGCAGCCACCACCAGGTAGTTGGTCTGATAATAGAGCAGGTTGCTCACCACGCGGTTGTTCCATTTGGAAATGTCCCTGAAGTCCGGCCGGGCGAAGCGGTCAGAGCCAGGGAAGAAATCGTCCCAGGCGCGGAGCGGGGCGAAATTCACGTCCATGTCTAGTCTCTCAGCTTCTTGTTCTTCTCCTCTGGAATCTGGCGGCGGCGGCGGCGCCAACCGATCGGCTAAGCTGGGTTAGAGACGACAGCGGCTCACGCTCAGCGGGCTCTGCGGTTGGTGAGCAGCGGAGCGAAGGAAATTGGGAGCGGGCGGGCGTTTTTCTCTTCTTTACTTCTTGATTGGCTCTAAGAGGTTGGTTACAGAAAAAGTGGGGCCTCGCGACGGAGCAAGGGGCAGAATGCAAAATAGAGATGAAATAGAAAGAAACGAGCGGAAAACCCCAGTGTGAAGCGAGATGGCATTGCCCTCCCTGACAGTCCGAATACACACAGCCTCCTTTAAAATACCCCCTTTTGAGTGTTCAACATAAGAATGTGTTCTGGATTTTAGGGAAATTTTTTGCAGCTGTTCAGATGCTAATCTAAGTGAAATGGAATGGAAGGCAACTATAGTGTTACTGGAAGATGAGCTGGTTTTGAAAACTGAGCAGTTACTAACCTCTGCACATCTGAATGCAATTCTCATGTTTTCTGTTTCACCATGAGTCACTATGAGTGAAATCAGGTTGGCAAAATGGGAAAGAAGAACGTGTAGAATGGAAGGGTTGGCTTGTTATTTCACTTCTATTTTTTTGTTCTCCATCTCTGTCTTCTCCAGACAAAATTATTGAACTACTGTGCTATTCTGATGCAGTGGGCACTCTAGGCACATCAGCCTTGAGCTGGGATGTTGTTCACCTTAGAAAGCAAACAATGGTCTGCAGTGACCAATAGTGTAGAGTAATTGCTTAGAGTTAGATATTACTGCTATTGTTACTAATAATAGCACAGGCCATGATTCATCTGTATGGTATTAATAATAGTGCGCTAACCTGATTTGTTTTCTGTGGCTTATAATGAATATCCACTGACTTTTCTCTATCTTGTTGCAACTTTATTGTTGTGGTTGTCTCTGAGTAGGCTTGATAGAGGACAAAAAGGTAGAAGATTTCAGTGTGATGCCAACAGATATTTTGAGTCCTTTCAAGGCTCTGTGAAAGCACTCTGGGGGATTAAAAAAAAAAAAAGGTGAAAAGAATGCAGCCTTGCCCTGCCTTCAGGGATCTTGCAATGCAGTGGAAACACTAACTTAAATGTATTACAGTAAGAGGAGTGCTAGGTAGAGATGTGCCAGACCTTAGTGCTCAGTTACAGGAAGTTACAGGGTGTGGAAGAATTCCCTGGGGCTTAAGAATTTCAAGGAGCAACACTGCGGGCAAGCTGAGAAAATGATCTTGGTCATGACCAGCATACCAGCACCATTAGGACCCCACACCTGTTGGAGAGATCAGTGAGCATTAGGAGCTGTGACCAAGAACCTTCCAACTGCTCAGGACTGCATGACCATAAACTGTCAGATGTCTGTTAGGAATAATATGATTCCTCATTGATCATAGGCAGTTGATATCCAGTAAACATTTGTTCTGTGAATTTTTATTTATTTGTTTAGAGGCACCTGGCTGGCTCAGTTGGTAGGGCGTGACTCTTAATCTCAGGGTCTTTAGTTCCACATTGGGAATGGAGCCTACTTAAAAAAAAAAAAAGAATGAATTTATTTGTTTAAACCTCCGAAGAGGTTTAAAAATAAAGAAATGAAAAAAAAAAAACCGGATATAACTGTATTTAGCATGATTTCCTTCTCCCTCTCTCATGAAGTATTAACCATGCTTCTCTCTCTGGCTGCATACGAGAGAATTTGTTTTCCCACTACACATTTCTATCTTTGTCAAAATAATTTTAAATAAAAATGGACGCATCTGGAATCCTTACTTGATTTCAGGTACTCTTCGAAATGCTATTAGTAGCAGCACTTTGTCATTATTCATTCAGGGGTTGGCCTTCCTGCAGCTCCTATATCCACACTTGTGCTTCTAGATAGACCCATTCTGAATATTTATCTGTCTGTATACAAACCATAGTGGATAGTCTAATAGTTTATGATATATTACCTTTGAAATGAAATAAATCTGTTTCATGTCTGTTACTTTCATTGCTGGCAAGGGCAGGTGGCTATTTCTAATTGGCCTGTCTGAGCCAATGGGAGTGCCTTGGTGTCATCTACCAAAACACCACCACAGGAGTCTAGGTGTTAGGCACATGGATGAAGGCCTAGATGCCTTTGCAGTCCTCTTCATTGTCCATCAGCACCCTGTTCCCAGGCCTCAGCTTCCTCCCTATGAAATGGGTAGGTTTGGACTAGATGATCTCTAAAGCACCTGTTGGTTTTTATCATCTGAGGGGGGCTGTGGAGCTTGCTGCCACTAATCGGAAGGTCTCCTCTCTGATCAGAGAGTAGCATTGCTGGGGCCCCGCCCGCATGAGTCTGTTTTGAAAAGCGTGGGCTTAATCTCAATGGTTTCTATCTGCAGAGTAGTCTCAGCAAAATTAAAAAAAAAAAGAGGTTTCTAGGTTGATACTGAGACATGTGACCCACGAAAGTGGCTGGTGTCTCCTGCTACAGACTGTGGACTGTGAACTCTGTCTTCTCCCATTTACTGCCTGGCACTGACTTTCAGCTCAATGAGTGCTATTGAACTGAACCTGATTGAGGGATAATAAAGGACAAAGAGGAGACAACATATAATTTATTAACAGCAGTTACATTTACCGAGTACCCATTTAGGTTTTACGTACTCCATGTCAGTGGTTCTCAAGCTTTATTTTGCACAGAATCATCCAGGGTTTTGCAGAAGGTTGGGGATGGGGCCTGAAAACTTGGATTTATAACAATTCCCCAAGTGATGCTAATAGGACTGATCAGGGGATTATATTTTGAGAACCACTGTATTTCATTCAGTTCTCAGTCTTACAAGGCAAATATTTTACAAATGAAGACCCAGCAGTATCCCGACTCTTATGGTTTGTTAAATGGAGAGTTAAGAATTTAAACTGTTCTTCCTAATTCTAAATCTAATTTTTTTCCGGCTCCAAGAAAGGATATATGTATATATATGCGCATACATACATATATTTTTTTGAAAACGATGTTTTGTATCCAGTCATCCAGACACCCCCCCCCCCACATACACACACTTACATCTGTCTATCTATCCATCATTTATGTCTGACTGTGGAAGAAAATAGTCCAAATTTAATCATTTATCTTCAGGTGATGCGATTATAGGTGTTCTAAATTATGCCTTAATTTTTGTGCTTTTTTTCTTTATACTTTTATTTAAATACATATTTTTCCCCAGAAAAAATGTTTTTTTCTATCCAGTTCCATTTCTGCTGAACTTATCTGACAGAATCATGTGACATTAAAAGATTACCATTGATATTCACAAAGGAGGAAAATGATAATCTCTCCATCCCACCACTATAAACTGATTTAGATTTTATTCTTAAAGTGCGTACTCTTATGCAAAAATGTTTCCTGAAAATTTAAGGTGAAAATTACTCCGATGCTTTGCCTCAGAGAGACGCTCTGCAGCATGAGGGTGGCTCTCCCAAGGAGTTTTTTCATAGAATATACCATTTTTTATAATTATTAATTAGCACGTAAATTGTATAAACGTATAATGTATTATGTGTATATTTTCACGCAACTTATACACTGGATAAGATTTACGTAACTAAGTGTAGTTAATCAAGATTATAATTACATGCAAAAGCTTTAAAGCTCAAGGGAGCCTCCGCGCCGTCAACCCCACCCCTTCCTCTGGCCCCGCCCCTTTGCCCCTTTCCGCTCCTCCCCGTCCTTTTCCAACTCTCCCTGGCGGCCCCGCCCCTTCGCTTCGTTCCGCCCCTCCGCCCCGCCCGCCCTGGGGGCACCTGGGAAGAGGCGGAGAACAATATGGCGGATGGCGAGGAGCCGTAAGTACTCGGGCTCAGCGGGCGTGCGGGGCCGGGCTGGGTTGTGAGAGAGCGCGGCGGTGGGCGGTCGCCGCCGCCACCCGGGGTCCCCCCACCCCCCGCCCCGTCCCCTCGCCCCCCATCCCCTCGCGGCGCCCGGTGTGTAGCGTGATGCTGACCCTTCTTTTATTCTCTCTTTCTTTTAGGGAGAAGAAAAGAAGGAGAATAGAGGAGCTGCTGGCTGAGAAGTTAGTGCTGCCGGGAGGCCGGGGCCCTCTCCGGGGACCCCCGCCTCCCCCCACCCCAGGCCTAGGGGACCAGCCGCAGCGGGCCCGGGGGGCTGGGAGGGGGGCACCCGGAGCGCAGGCCGCGCGGCCTCATCCCCTGACCCCCATCCCGGAGCCCCAGGGGCCCGGCGGGCCGCTCCTCGTCTGTATCTCGGGCGGGCGCCGGGCCCGGGGTCCACCGCAGCAGGCCCGGCACCGGCCAGCCGGGGTGGTATTTGACCCAAAGGTCTTGTGTAAGGACCCTTGAGCCCCACCCCCCCTCCACCCCAAATTGTCATAGCCGTGACCTTGTGAAAAGGGAATCTTTATTAAACACGTGAAACGGACACTAGGCCCTTTTTGGCCTTTCGTAAACACTGAGACAATAGTATTATTGCAAACTTTTTATGAGAACTTTATGTGTAAGGTTTCGTACTAAGCACTTCATTTTTGCAAAATAGTTGGCTCTTAAGGGTTAATGTTGACTCCAAAGAGTTTATTTTCTCCATTTATTACACACCCTGTTTTTTATCAGATGTTTAGTTTTGTGCTGGTGAGACAGATTTAATCTGTTTTCTAACCTGGCCCACGCCACATAATTTTTCTTCTCCCTACATGGGAGGAGTAGAAGGTACTCTTGCAGGGGGTGTGGTGAGTTAGTAATTTCTGTGCCAGTTCCCAGTAGCGTGTTTTAGTCCTTATGTGTCTCCCTCCGAAAGTTTAATTTCAATTGCAAAAGGATTGGAATGACAAGCTTAATTTCACATTCCTTCCCACCTTTCCTTTCCTTTCCACCTTTGCTTAAAATGACAGTAAAGGCTTGAATGCTTACTATATGGCAGGTATTGTACTAAGGCCTCTGTGTGGATTATCTCTTTATCCTTGTTCTGACCTTAAGAAGTAGCTCCAAACAACTTACAAATGAGATTTATAGCCATTAATAATCAGCTCAAGGTCACAGTGTTGTTGTGGAACCAGACCCAGCTTGACATCAAATGCTATGGTCTTTATTGTTAGGCAATACTTGTAAAAATTGGATATTACTAATACGTTTGGAGGTAGAAACTGTGGGTTACAGGAAATTTGAAAATTAAAAATAATCACAACCAAACATAAATCCTTCAGAGAGTAAAAAATACATTTCCATTAGAAAATACATTTTGTATTTTGTTAGAGGAGTCCCTCTTTATTCAGTTGTATG